TATATAATTATAATTTAGTAACAAAGATAAAACACAGCATTTTAAATATTTAAAAACATTTTTATCTTATTTTATATATCTTTTTAATTGGATTCTATAATATTGACCGTTGTTCATTTATCACACGAATGCGAAATGTTTAAAAATTGTATCAAGATTAGGAAATACGTAGTAATATTTCTCACTAGCTAAAAGTAAAACAAAAAAATGTACATAATATATTCTAATATTATAACAAATAATTGATTACTTACTGCTGCAAGAAGTGTCGCATCTATAGTCAAACCTTTCACCGAAAATGTATTTTTACGATGCAATATTTGTAAAGAAAACAGTTGCAACTGCAATATTAAAAAGGAAAATAATTAAATATAAGGATAAAAATATTGTATAAAATTTAAAAATGCAATATTCTTCACTAGATTTAATGTTTAGAAAGATTGCGTTAGAGCATACAACATAATTTCAAAAAAATATATAGATAAAGTAAATTTAAATTATAATGTTACCTCACTTTTGATTTTCTCATCATTGGTACTGTTAAGTAAATCATGGATGATAGTGCCGATTTTTTTGGCTTGATTCTTACCCGTCTCGCAGACCCACACAATTAGTATTATTTGAGAAATGTAATATGTCAGGGATGTCAGAAACGCATCAAAAAAGTGCCCATCCAATCCAATAAATACTCTATTTTGCCATCCAAATGCAAATAAGTACAAATCAAAGATGATAATTAAAAAGTACATGACTATAGCAGCAAGGAGTTGTAGACTGAAGATCATATTCAGCATTTGCACTGCGTCGCTAATCATTAGATGTTGCTTTTTCAAAACTCTGAGTTTTATCAGCAAAAATTGATTACTCTGCGTGTGCCGGATTACATTGGAGACACCTGGCTTCATATCGTTTATTATAAACTTTTGTATGTGTAACAGTTTGTCATTGATTCTTTTAAAGCATGCTTTTAATACACAAACATAGTTTATATACAACATAATTATTTGTAATATCAACAGGCCGAAGTACATTGTAAATACCCCAAACAGAATAGCGAAAAAATTGTCTTGATCCTTCAGTACTTTAGACATTGTTATGCTTAATTGCACAATTCTGATGACATTACTCAATATATCCTTAACGTGAATCAATCTGGATAGTTTTTGGTACGACTTCGAAGATAATTTCGAAGAGATCTCCATTATTGTCTGTAGCAAGCGCATTCGCGGACTACTCAGGAAATGCGTGATGATCACTATAAAACTGGTGAGAAAGTAGTATATAACGGCGTGAATATTCCAAATTACATCTCCAAAATCTATTTTTGATTTAATAATACTGTAAATGAATGCAAAGTTTATAACAACACACACGCAGATAACTACTGTTGACAGAATATAGTACGGTTTCGAAACTTCGAAAGTCGAAGCATTGAGCTTGTACGGAAATAGTCCGAGAATGCGATTCCAAGTGAAACTGGGATACATTAAAGATTGAAAGTCCATTGCATTACACAAGCACCATCTTCTTCGCATTTTGTTTTTGCGATTGTCCTTGACTTTCGAATCGAACACAATCAGAAAAATTTATAGGAGAACGTAACAATTTGAATCAGATATACAGATACCATTGCATTATTGACCATATACACTTTAGCATTAAAATGGATGTAAATTAGAGAAATTTCTTTTTCTTAGTGTAATTTTTAAGTCGGTCTTTTGATAAGAAGTGTATGTACTAATACGGTTTTTGTATCTTATCTATACTCGATGAATTTAAATTTGAAACTACGAGCAAATACTGTATGCAGCAAAGAAACAAAACTAATAAAACCATTTGTTAACTGTGAAGTACCCATGGCGTTCTTCGATCGACACTTATCACTCTTGGGATAGATTAATACAAATGATTTGTAATTTTTATAACATATGACTTAATAAACTCAATGGCTCATCGCATTAATGAGTTAACTTATAATCGAACATGTGATATTAAAAATGCATGTATGACCTGTTATTTGTCTCAAAAGTTTCTTCTAATTGTCGGTTTGCTTTACTGCTAGTAAGCCCTTTAATCATTATATGTGCTCATAGAAAGACATTGCAATATTCACATAAATAGTAACTTTAAGATATCGTCCATTAGTACTGATCAATTTATAATAGGATACTAAATTTTTACTAAAATGAGTATTACGTACTGTAGAGCCATCTATTGAAGTTTTTGAATCGACTACATATACGAACATAACATATTAACGAAAACTCTTTATAAAAATATAAACCATTGCACATCATATTTTATTAACAATGACAAAACAGTATATATGTATTTTATATTTAAAAATACTTTTACTTCACTTTATGTATCTCTGTAATTAGATTGGGTAACATTGACTGCTGTTTTTCTGTCGCAAGAATGCGATATGTTTAAAAATTTTATCGTGATTATTAGATACGTAGTAATTTTACTCATTATCTAAACATTAAACGGTAAATATAAATAATAAATATTTTAATAATTAAAATAAATGAATGATTACTTACTGCTGTAAGAAGCGCCGCATCTATAATGAAACCTATTGCCATAAATGTATTTTTATGATGCAGTATTTGTAAAGAAAACAGCCGTAACTGTAACATTAGATCGCAAAATAATTAAATATAGGAATAAAGAAGTTTAATTAGAATTATAATTATTTACAATTATACTTTTCAATAAATTTAATAAAATCGTGTCGCATAAAAAATAAATAATGTATGTAGATTAAACAATTTCCTTTTCTTATGTTTACCTCGTTCTTTATCTGCTCATCTTTGATATTGTTAAGTAGATCGTGAACTGTAGTGCTGATCTCTTGCGCTTGATTCTTGCCAGTCTCAGAGGCCCACACAAGTAGCATCATTTTTATAACGTAATATGCTATTGGTGAGTAAAATATGTGATAAAAATGCATATTAAAACTAATGAATACTCCATCTTGCCAGCTCATTACATCAAAGTAAATATCAAAAGTGATATTAATAAAGAATGTAACTATAGTAGCAAAGAATTGCAAACCGAAGATCGTGTTCAGCATTTGCACTGTCTCGCTAACCCTCAAATGCCACTTTTTTAAGGCCTTAAGTTTTAATAATAAGGTTTGATTTCTTTGTATGTAAAAATCAATCCGGGAACATATAAGTTTATATCATTTACCATTAATCTCTACATGTGAGCCAAATTGTCATTAATATTTTTGAAACAGGCTTTTAATACACAAACACAATTTACATACAACATAAGTATAAAGCATCAAATATCAGCATGTAGAGATACAAGCAGGACACTTTAATCAAGATGATGAAACGGTTCAGTTTAAATACTTTTTGGTTATAAAGATAAATGCATTCTTGCAGGAAAAAAAGGATTGTACCGAAAATGTCTTTGGCGTGAATTAATCTGGACATTTTCTGGTATGATTCCGAGGAAAGTTTCCGAAAGATTTCTGACATAGTCTGTAGCAAGCGCATTTGCGGCATCACCGCTTAAAACTTGCGTGATGATTATTAGAAAAATGTTTAACACTATATAATTGATATTTGAAATTCCTCTGATTATTTCTTCAAAATTTTGTGTTGAAATAGAGATCAACAGTTATAATACTTTACACAGAGTTACTTTACACAGTAAGAGTTGGACCTTAACAATTAATGCTTAAATATTTTGGTAAGAATTTTATACATATCCAATTCTGCAAACAATGTGCCGAAATAATTTTTAGTCTTAAACACAACAAAATTTAGTCTCAAAAATAATAAAATTTTATTTATATAAAACTATTACGAGAACTATTACATACTGAATATCCACTCATAAGTTGAATTGATAACATAAACGAAGAATTTTTTTAAATATAAAACATTGTATAATTATATCTTATTAATAAAGATAAAGCACAGTAATTCGAATATTTGAAAACATTTTCGTCTTCCTATATATCCTTATAATTAGATTGTGTAATATTAACCGCAGTTATTTTATCACAAGAATGCGACATATTTAAAAATTGTATCACGATTAGTAAATACGTGGTAATATTCCCCATTATCTAAAAGTGAAACAAAAATTTATATATTCTAATATTCATAAATTAATTAATATTATGATGATATTCATAACATTTGATTACTTACTGTTGCAAGAAGCTTTGCATCTATAGTCAAACATTTTACCGAAAATGTATTTTTACAATGTAATATTTGTAAAGAAAATAGCCGCAACTGTAACGTAAAATCGCAAAATAATGAAATATAAAAATACAGAAATTACTCCTACAGCACGAAATTGCAGTAATATTACAGCAAGTATTTTGAAAGATTGTAATAAAACTCATAAAACATGGCTGCAATATTGTAGCAATATTCTTATATCCGCAAAAATAAAATACTACTATAACATTATGCAATATTTCAATAATTACTCTAGTTCTATTAATTGCTATCATATTATTGTGCTTGTTTAGCATTATACTTCAAAATACATACGATAAAGTTATGATAAAGTTATGATAAAAAAATATTCGGGGGGCCTATAAAGCACATCTAATGCTATACTCGTATTCCGATTCCCACGTGCCACCCAAGTATCATTCCATCCTTGTTATTTATCGAAACAAGAATGACATGATACCCGGAGAACACGGGTAGAAATCCGAACACGCCTAAAAAAAAGTTAAGAATCTCTAGAAGACTCGCTAACTCGATTTACGTATTCCTTATAGGATCCCTGGACGTTTCTTTTTACGAGAAACGTATTCCTCTAGTAGCGGGACCGTTACTTATTTATTGAATTGTAATATTGCAATATTTTCTATAAAATTGCATAAACATAACAATATTGTTGCAATATTTCCAATAAAATATTATAATTTCAATATTGCGGCAATATTGCTGTAACTTTTGTAATATTGCGTACTATTGAAATATTGCTGCATTTATTTTATGCTGTAGGGGTAAATTACAATTAAAATTAATTACAATTATCCTTCAATAAATATAGTAAAATCGTGTCTGTATAAAAAGTAAATAATATATGAATAAAACAATTTCTTTTTCGCACCTCGTTTTTTATCTGCTCATTATTGATATTGTTAAGTAAATCGTGAACTGTGATGCTGATCTCTTGTGCTTGATTCTTGCCAGTCTCACAGACCCACACAAGTAGCGTTAATTTTACAACATAATATGTTATTGACGATGAAAATATGCGAGGAAAGTGCATATCAAAATTAATGAATAGTCCATCTTGCCAGCGCACTACACTAAAGTAAATATCAAAAGTAATATTAATAAAGGATGTAACTATAGTACCAAGGAGTTGTAAACCGAAGATTGTGTTTAGCATTTGCACTGTGTCGCTAATCTTCAGATGCCACTTCTTTAAGGCCTTCAGTTTTAATAGTAAAGTTTGATTTCTTTGTATGTGACAGATTAACTCGGAAACACATGATTTCATATCATTTACCATTAGTTTCTGCATATGTGCCAAATTGTCATTAATACTTTTGAAACAAGCTTTTAATACACAAACATAATTTATGTATATCATAATTATCTCAAATGTCAGCATGTAGAGATACAATGAGATCATTTCAACGAAGATGGTGATATCCAGTTGAGACAATTGAAACAGTCGTGGTATAGAAATAAAATTGTATGTTTGTATGATTATGAAGATTATACCGAAAATGTCTTTGGCATGGATTAATCTGGACAGTTTCTGATACGACTCCGAGGACAATTCTTGAGAGATTTTTGATATAGTCTGTAGAAAGCGCATTTGCGGACTGCTTAGGATAAACGTGATGATTGTTATTAAACTGTTAAACATGACATAAGCGAAATTTGAAATTCCTGTGATTATTTTTTCAAAGTTTTGTGTTGTATCAATGATCATAATATTGTAAATGAGTAATAACACAAGAGCACAATAGAAACATCCAATCATGATCGACACAACGTAGTGTGGTTTTGTAAATTCGAAAGTTGAAGCGTTAATTTTGTACGGAAACATTCCAAAAATGCGGCAAATGGTGAAACAGGGATACATTAAAGATTGAAAGTCCATGGCATGAAACAACCGTTGCCTTTTCCACATTTTGCTCTTGATATATCGTCGAATTTTTTTAATATGATTAGCAAAAATTCATAGAGAATGACAATCTATGTAATGAACTAGAGTCTATATTATATACACTTCAACAATATAAATAATAACTAAAGTTTTTTTTAATGTAATCTTCGAGTTTGTATCTTTGTAACAGGTATGCAAACTGATTTAGTCTCTACATACCATCTCGACGAATCTAAATTTAATACTGCGATCAAATTCTCATGTAGAACGACATAGCTAAAGGAATCATTTGTTAGTCCTGTAGTTACCATGGCGTTCTTCGATATCATCAAATATATCTTTGAAAATGGATTACAGTAAATGCTACGTAAGTATTATAACGTATTTAAATTATGTATGCATATAGACTTGCTATATCCACTTGAATCAATAATTTAAAGACATCCATTAATAATAGTTAATTAATAGTGGACATTAATGTTCTAAAATACATTATTTATGTGAATAGAAGCAGTGGTATCTTTATTTCAGTATAACAAATATGTGTAACAAATGTTATATTAAAAAATAGAATTATAATACTTACAATAGCCGTATTTAACTTTCCGAAAAGTCTATAGTTGAAAAATGATTTGAATAATTTTTTATTGCATATTGTGAAAACAAATTTTAAAAGTTTTATTATCAATTATATACAAAAAGATTGATTAAAAATATTGGAACTAATTATAAATAATAAAATTTGCAAAGACTTAAAAATATTTTTTGTACATCCTATGATTAAGATGAATCTATCTGCGTTTGTCTACATAATTCGGAAATTAATTTTGTTATTAGCAGATATAATTTTATGTTATAAAAATTTTAAGTTATTCAATATTTATATTATAATTAGTAAACGAATAGCTTCAGAGAATTATTATTGTGATAATGTGATAATAATAACTGTAATAATATTTCAAGAAATTTTAACCATTAATAAATAATAATAATGGAATCTTTAATAAAATGTTTAAACTAATTTAAAAAATTGTTATAAATTATTAAATGAACTTTAATATGATTATATTACAATTTTTTTTAAAACTAATTTATAACCTTATACATATGAAAATAATTAGTAAAATAGATATAAATTTATTTGAAATATTAGATAAAGTAATATATCTTCTAAGAAGGATTTTAAATTATAGTTTATTTTTATATATACAGAATAAATAAAATTATAAACTATACGGATATATTAATATTTATTTAATATTTAATTTACACTGATTACGAAAATAAAGAGCAATAATCGAAAAATTACATATTATATAATATATTGTATTTACTATACAGAATGTAATTTATATATCAATGTTTGTGATATATTATTTTATTATTATGTATTATAATATACATTTCTTATGTGTGTATTTAAACTTTACAATTCAATTCAATGTTAACATATACATGGAATAAGATTTTCAAAATATTTATATTTTGTGCATATATATAGGTATGTATTTATTTATGTATTTAAATGCAAATATAAAGCATCAAAATATTTACATAAAAAGTAATTTTGTTATATAATAACCAATTTTTTAATAACACATTTAATTGTTTAATACTATATTTCTTCTTGCAGTTGTAGCTTTACTTCCGTAATATTATTTGCCATCTCTTTTTTGCATGAAACAAACTTAAATTGAAACATTACCATTACGTATATGGCGATGTTACCAATTATCTAAAAGAAAAATTTTTAAATAAATCTATATACTTTATAAAAGTTATTAATTGTTAAAGTAAGTTATTAATTAATAAAAAATGCGACAATTCACTCACCCGAGCGAGAAGTTTTGCGTCTATAATAAGACCTTTTGCGGAAAATGTATTATTGCAATGAAGTATTTGCAAGGAAAATTGTTGTAACTGTAATCGTAAAATAGTAAGATATAGAATTGAAAAATGTAATAAATCTAAAAGTTGTAATATCAAATCTGTTTTAAAATATGAGTCACATTAAGACAACATAAAAGTGATATAAAACTTTAATATTTTATTATACTACCTCATCTTTGATTTGTTCATCGGTAGTGCTGTTAAATGCATCATAAATGGAAGTGCTGATTTGTTGAGCTTGATTTTTACCCGTCTCACAAGCCCACACTATTAATATCGTTTTTATAAAAAGATATGCTATGTATAATACAAAAAACATGTCAAATAAAATGTCCATTGACAATAAATATTTCCTTGACAATATGTAGTAATATAAAATCAAAGAGGTATGAGAAATGGTTATAACTGTTGTAGCAAGAAGTTGCAAACTAAAGATCATATTCAACATTTGTACTGCGTTGCTGACCGTTAGATGTTGTTTTTTCAGGATTTTGAGCTCCATGACCAAGAATGGATTTCTCTTGTAACAGATCGGTCCAGGAAAATGTGACTCATTGTGTGTGGCTATGAATTTTTGCATGTTTGCCAGATTGTCATTGATTCTTTTAAAACATGCTTTTAATATACAAACGCAATTTAAATACAACATATCCATCTGATGTATGAATAGAAAGGGATAATTTTGAAATAAAATAGTTATTTCCAGCCCGGAAGCATGAATCAATATGATCCAAGCAAAAAAAAAACCGATGATGTCCTTAGTGTGAATCAACCTAGATAGCTTTTGATATGATTTCGATGGTACTCTTGAAGAGATTTTTAATATAGTCTGGAGCAAGCGTGTTCGCGGACCGGTTAAAATTATCGAGATGATTATTATAAAGTCGCCAAGCACTAAGGCGCAGTACATAATAAGATATATGGGAAAATCGTTTATATGGCTAGGAATATTATATAACATCATCAATACGTAAATATTATATAAGCAGATAACGACAATCGACCGAATGTAATATAGTTTTGAAACTTCGAAAGTCGAAGCATTAATCTTATATGGACGTATTCCAAGAATACGACACAAAGTGAAGCAAGGATACATCAGAGATTGAAAATCCTTGGCGTTAAACAATCGCCATTCTTCCTTCTTTTGTTTGTCTTCACGGAAATTCGTTGATAAATTTAACATGTTTAATGATGTCACAAAAAAACAAGAAATCCTATTGTAGACAGCAATCTATAAATTATTAATCTATGTAGTTGTATCAATACATTTTGATATTAATATGAATACAGTAGAGAGAGAGAGAGCTTTTTTTTAAATGTAACCTTTTTACTTTTTGTGTTACACGTGAGTAAAGCGATATGAACTCTTCACAGTTGATCTACACTGTATGAATTTAATTTCTAAACTGCGAATAATTGTAGTCTCCTGTAGTGACACAAGATAATTAAGAAACTTTGTTAGGCGTGATGTAACCATGGTATTTTTCGATTGACAATTATCATTTTTGTATGACAATGAATATGCAATTGCTGTGACATACGACAATATTTGTCAAATCGTTTATATGCACATGAGATGGCAGTATCCTGCGCAATAATCCCTGTGGATTGGTAGCTTTTAGAAATGCATTTATAACTTCTTTTCTAATGACTGTTTTGAAAGCCTATATTTACATTTTACATAAAATGTTTGACATCTTTATTACATATAACTTAATTTGTCTTTTCTTGTTAGAGTTTGTATATATGTAAATACATAAATTTTTTACATATAATACATATGATATATGTCATATATTATAAATATTTAAAAATATAAAAGATATTCCCTTCTACTTGTGTGTGTTAAAGTATTTTATATATATTATAATACCGAACTGATATAAATTTTTTTATAAGCTTATATATGTATTGAGTTAGAGGAAAAAGATCAAAAGAAAAAAATCGATTTTGATCCTGCGAATTTGTTGAAAAAATTACAAAAAATAAAATAATAAAGTTTTATTATTGTAAAATGCTTATCAATGTTGTACATATTGTACATCCATATACGGATTGTGCATACAAGAGTTTGTTATATCTATTACATATATTATATAAAAACATTTCAATCTGATTGATGCTGAAATTAGCATGTAATAACTATTACGCTTGAGAATCCTGAATACGTTTATTATCATCTTTCCAGAAATGTGAATCTCATATTATTACCAACTCGCAAATACAACAAACGGATAATAAGGGTTCATAGAACGAAAAGCGGTTTGTAAATCTCAAAAGTTGGAACGTTGATTTTGTATGGAAATATTCCGAGGATGCGACAGAATTAGATGAAGCAGGGCTACATCAAGGATTCAAAGTTTGTAACGTGAAACAATTGCCATCGTTTCCGTATTTTATCCTTGGCCCGTTTGTGAAGTTTCGACGAAGAGTTGAACATGTTCATTATGGAGAACTTCAATCTAAGCCATTGATGTACAATTTAAAAATTAATCCTATTATCAATACACTAAGTTATTAATATTATATTTCAGTATTAATACTTTGTCAATAATACGAATATTATCTGGAAATGCTTTATATAT